CTTTGGAAAGCCTCCTTGATGAACCGCTGGATTCAAGAACTCCAACCATGAAGGAAATTGCAGGTTCCACAGTCTGACTGCGGAGTGCATGTGTCAGAGCCAGGCCTCCTCGGTGGCTCAGACGGAGCAGTGGATATCCAAGTGCACATGGAGGATATGGCAGCACTATGGAGCCTGCAGAGGACACTCAGTACCATAGCAGAGAAGACAGAACAAATTGATCAACTACCCCAGCCAAGCGTTGCCAGTGAAAATTTGGGCAGAGACTCTAAGGTGGATTATGTCAGCCAGTGGAGAGATTTCACCGTGATTGGTGTGGCAAAATCAGCAACAATATAGAGCTATTGCACTATTGGGCCCAGTGGCATGGCCTAGTGGCTAAAGTCCTCACCTTGAACGCCCCGGGATCCCATATGGGTGCCGGTTCTAATCCCGGCAGCTCCATTTCCCTTCCAGCTCCCTGCCTGTGGCCTGGGAAAGCAGTCGAGGACAGCCCAAAGCCTTGGGTTCCTGCACCCGGGTGGGAGACCTGGAGGAAGCTCCTGGCTCCTGGATTTGGATCAGCATAGCATCGGCCGTTGTGCTCACTTGGGGAGTGAATCATCAGATGGAAGATCTTCCTCTGTCTCTCCTCCTCTCTGTATATCTTTGTAATAAAAATAAATAAATCTTAAAAAAAACACACACACACACACACAAAACCACATTAGCAGAACCCTTGGAGCATGCCCCACACCGGGGACCCTGGGATGATTGGAAGGCTGGGTGTGGCTTCTCTGCTTATCCCTCCCCTTCCCCCAGATACAGGAAGAAGAGAATGTGAAAACAATGGTCTCATCCACTTTCCTCTAGCCCTTGATCCTTCGCACCTTAATCAAATATGTAAAAATTATCAAAAATAAAATTTATACTACAAGAAAGAACAAAAAAGAGTCACCATCTGGTTCACTCCACTTAGTAACTTGGAACTAGAAACTGCACTCGGGATGCTTTTTTTTTTTTTGTAAGATTATACAGAGGAAGAGAGACAGCAAGGAAGATCTTTTCATCTGCTAATTCACTCTCCAAGCAGCTGCAATGGCCGAAGCAGAGCTGATCTGAAGCCAATATCCAGCAGTTTCTTCTGGTTCTCTTAGTGTGTGTAGGGTCCCAAGGCCTTGGATCATCCTCTACCACATTCCCAGGCCACAAGCAAGGAGCTGAATGTTAAGTTGGGCTGCCAGGAAATGAATCAGCACCCACACGGTTTCCTGGCGCACGCAAGATGAGGACTTCAGCTGCGAGGCTAAAGCGTCAGGGCCCACTCTGGACACTTTTTAAGAAATGGGAGCATAGGATGTGTGGCTTTTTGGACCAGCCTCTCTCACACAGCATATTTTCAAGGTTCTGCTATGTTTGCCATGGATCAGGACTTCCTGCCTTCTCAGGGTGGGGTAACAGTCCCAGGTTTGACATATTTGCCTATGTATTCATCAAACGCTGATGGACATCTGGGCTGGCTTCACTTTCTGCAGGTGGCCTAGCGGCTAAAGTCCTCACCTTGAAGGCACTGGGATCCCATTTGGGCGCTGGTTCTAATCCCAGCAGCTCCCAGCTTCCCTTCCACCTCCCCGCTTGTGGCCTGGGAAAGCAGTCAAGGAGGGCCCAAAGCCTTGGGACCCTGCTTGGGAGACCTGGAGGAAGTTCCTAGCTCCTGGCTTCAGATTGGCTCATCTCCGGCCTTTGCGGTCACTCAAGGAGTGAATCACTGGATGGAAGATCTTCCTATCTCCTCCTCTCTGTTTTTCTGACTTTCCAATTAAAGTAAATAAATCTTTAAAATGCATAACCATTAACAAAAAGTGCCAATTGAATGCTTTCTCAGAGTTCTGTGATTCACACTTGGGGAGACTGGTGTCAGTTGGGGTGGGAGCAGGGTGGAGAGGCCCCTGCTCCTTGGGGAGCTGAGCAGGGCTCCTGAAGTCATCTCATGTCTTGCGTGGTTTGATTTCCTCTGCCGCAAGTAGAGTGGTGGATGTAGTCTTGGCCTCAGGCCATCCATGTTCTTGAGCTGGAACCTGAGAAGTAGAAATGTACAGTACACCTGATTCTCTTCAAAACTGTTCTGAAATGATATGCCCCCAGAGTGGCGTCTGTAACATGCCCATTTCAGCCCGGGTCCTACAGGTTTGCGCCCCTCAGGCTGTGTCTTCCCGAGATAGCTTGCGCATTCCTCAGCAGGGTCTGCAGGTTGCCTGGCACCTGCACCTCGCTGCATTCCCTTTTTCTGTCCTCGCTGACTTTGGCTGCCAGCACTCAGCTCCTCTCGCTCTCCCATGCTGTGCTCACTGAACAGCTCCGGCCCGGGGGGGGGGGAGGAGAAGCCACCAGGAAGGAAATTAAAGACCAGGTTGTCCTTCACCTCTGGGAATGAGCCTTCCTCTCAGGAGATCTTCCCAGCCCGCCACCATCTGGAGTTTCATTTCTCTTGCTCACGCTCACTTCCTCACTGCTAAAGAGTCTTGCAATAGTGAGCCTCCACCATCCTCAAAATGAAGCCCTGTGGAAGCAAGACCCTCACTTCCTCACGGGGGATGCAGGGGAGCATTCAGTACATACCTGAGAAGTAAATGAGAAACACAAAAAGATGGCGCTGGCCTTGTCCAAGAGCTTTCTGGTGACTTTTCCCTGACAACAATGTAAGAGTTTGACACAGCTTGACCTTCTAGAAGTTTCCATCTCCAGACTAAAAGAAATGCATTGTATTTCAGAAGCAAGGAGCTACTTGTCGACTTGTTTCACTCCTCATGGGCCTCCAGGAGCATGAAACTTAGTCCAGGTCTAGCAGGTGGGTGGTGAGGGCTCAAACCACTATAATATAGTATCGACAAACCCCAGAATGTCATTTTTATACTCAATTTTTTGATCGTCGACTACCAGTCCCTGAATTCTCCAGAGCTGCTCATAGCCAGAAAACAGCCAAGTTCCTCGCAGCCACTTGCACAGGAATTTCGCTTATACAGCTCCTGAGCCTGGTAAGGCAGCTCACGAGGGGACCTACTGCAAGATGAAGTTGGTGCCAGAACTTGCTTTCCAGGGTCCTGTGCCACTTGAGTTTCCAGTGTGTGTCAGGGAGGACCCCAGACAGGAACCCCCAGCTGCAGCTATTAAGCCCTCAGAGCCAATGTCTGCCCAAAGCCTTGGAACCCTGCATCTGCATAGGACACCTGGAGGAAGTTCTTGGCTCCTGGCTTCAGATCAGCTCAGCTTCGGCCATTGTGGCCACTTGGGGAGTAAATGGCTCAGCTCTGGATGTTGTGGCCATCTGGGGAGTGAACCAGTCAATGGAAGATCTGTCTCTCCTCTCTGTAACTCTGCTTTTCCAACAAAAATAAATCTGGGGGGGGGGGAATGTCAAGATGGTAGGTGTGTAATATCAATTGTGCTACACATACACACTGGGGGAACTAAGAGCTGACTTGGCATCAGCTCTGTGAAAGAACTAGTTGTGGATAATCGAGTGTTTCACAGGACCTCCTCACTCCCTATGGATGGTGTGCCCTGATCCGGGTGTGCCAGCTGGCCAGTGGCAGTGCTGGGTGACCAACCCCTCTGAGGTGGGCAAACTGCAGTAAGCACAAGTCAGAGGCCACTAAGTTCCACTCAGGAGCCTAGACGAAAAAGGACCATCTCCCGAGATGAATGACAGGTCATCTGATGCTGCCTGATGGCCCTTTGCTTAACTTCTGCCGAGCAGTAGTGAAGCAAAAGGACTCTGGACTCAGGTGGTCTTGTTGAATTCCCAGCCCTTTCTTTCTACGTGGTTGTTCACCTGTAAAACAGGGTTTGGAACAGAAGCTACCACCTCAGGGAGGAAATGAAAGATTGGACGGTACAAGGCACATTATGCGTTCCTGCCCGCATCTGGCAGCAGTAGCCACTGACCCTGAGCTAGGGCCATGCACAGTTCTGACTGGAAATACAGACTTTCAGTACAAACAGGGTAGTGAACCAAAAGGTCTGAAATGCAGAACCCACTAAAAGACAGACTCCCCTCTCCACACAGACAAATTTATTAATTATTTGAGGGGCCGATCAACACAGAGAAAGATTTTCAGAAACAATGGTTCACTCCCCAAATGCCTGAAACAGTCAGGGCTGGGTCAGAATGAAGCCAGGTGCCTGGAACTCTGTCCGAATCTCCCACAGGAACGTCAGGAATCTAGGCAGCTGGTGCATTCCTTGCCACCTCCAAGGCTAGCGTCAGCAGGAACCTGGCCCAGCCGTGTGGAGCAGCCAGGTTTCGAGGAAGGCACTGCACACCGGATGCCAGCATCCCACAGCTGTGCCACAGTGCCTAACTGCTGCCACTTAATTTTTGGGAGAGCCAGAGTGGCCATCAAACAGGACCCAGACTCTGGGGAATGCTGGGTGAAATCTGGGTAAATCAAGTCGGTGGGGCTGCGGTACTGGCTAGCTCTTCAGTCTTCAATGTCCCGGCTTGGTGGAAGGGAGACCACATGTTTGTCCTGAGTCCCTACTTAGCCAGTTTACATCACAAGCTGGTGCCCAATGTGATGCTACCCCAGACACCCCCACACTGAGGGATGCTGAGGGAAAGGTTGAACTGGGTAAGGAGCTGCAGGCCTCTAGGATGGACATGGCAGCAGTTGTGCACAGGCATGCAGATGCAGTTACAGCCTCCTGTGGTTAAGCAAACCTGACGTTCCCAGGGGTCTGAAGAGGCCGCAGCGGGAGGTCCTGGATCCAACAGTGATCAGCAGCACATGGCCGCCAGAGTGTGACTCCCCACAGAAGCTCTAAGGCGCCTTTACAGACAAACAGCTCTCCGGAGGGAAACTGTTCTGCTGTAGGAACCCTGAGTGGGTTCCGCTGAGTGCCAGCCAGAACATCCACTGAACCTAAGGAGGTGGGGGGGTGGGTGGCTGGATTCCCTCAGGAACACCACCAAGCCCACTGCCCAGGCCCACAAGCAAGAACTCCACAGACAACATCCGTTCTTCTCAAACAGTTTAATAGCAAATAAACAAAGGAAGGTACCACACTTGGCAGATACAAAATGACTTTTTGTCTGTGTGTCTGTGCAATTAAAACAGATTTAGGTTCCCCACTGGAACAAAAGGAAAAACACACAAAAAAGGAAGGCGAGTCCTTTTAAACACATACTCCTTTGCTCCAAACTTGTAACAAGTTTTTTTTTTCTTTTAAATCCACTACACAAACTCTGTGATTAGGTAAGAAAAGCGACAGGGGCTCTTCTTGCCTTTTTTTTTTTAAACCATTAAAGTAAAATCCATAATTTTCTACAGAGTACAACACAAGCTCACACAAAAAGACATTTTCTTTTGCAAATCAAAACAAAGAAAGAAAGGAAAAGCTCAAACAAGGTAAAGGAAAAGCATCTCTACGGCTGAATCACGACTCTGAGTTGATTGAATCCCGGTGTGGCTGCAGAACAGACTGTGCGTTTGGTCATAGTGGCAATTTTTTTTCTCTTCACATTGTGAAATCACTTTACATTGTTTTCTAGTAGAAAAGGCAAAAAACTGTACAAAACCCCTAGTGTTAAATACAACGTTTGTACCAATAAAAAACTCACACAGGTTTGTCTCCAAAATGTAAAGTTTCTTTTTTTTTTTCTTTTTAAATTATTCACAAAAAGCAGCTGGAAATCAGAAAGGCAGCTGCCGCTCCAGGGTCTCAAATCCATGAAAACCACCACAGAACAATGAAAACAACCAGAGTGAGAAAAGGAAAAGGAAACAACGGCCAACGTTTGGCATTTGGTTTATCCACAGGTTTTCCCCAGCTCCTCATACATTGGCAAACGCGGTTTCTCCCAACACAGGCAGGGGCTCGGCGCCCCCTGCCGACAGAGGCGGCCCTGTGCAGTGAGACTGTAGGGCACACAGCAGTCTCTCAGGCTGGGGGCTGGTGGGGCTGGGCTCTCTCCATCCAATCACCCCTCCAGGGAAGGAAGTATCTTACCCCACAAGGGCCTCTGTGAGGCTGCCCTTCCCTCCTGCTGCTCCAGTGGAATACTGGGCAACCGGGGCGGGTCCTCAGAGCAGACCTTCCCATGGGATCCTTTGCTCCACCCACCCCAGCATGGATGACACTCAATAGTGCCTCTACCTTCCCTATCCCTTTTCCCTGGCTCCACCCTTCCCTCCAACTAGCTCACTGGCTAGCAGCTTGGGGGCAGGTGGCATCTAGTGTAAGCTCCTTTCCCTGCAGATCCACCCCTTCACCCCACCCAGATGCATCTTGGGCTCTTTCTTCTCTAGTCTCTCCTCCATTCACATTCTAACTCAAATCTCCCCAACCCTGAGGCTGGATGATGCCACAAGAGAAGAGGGTAGGTTCCCCATGAGGAACCAAAGAACTGGCTTGCCTGGCACCTAGGGACAGTAGCTATTTGGCTCTCCACCTAATTTAAATAAGCAATCTCCCCCCTCTCCCCTACCCCGCTAGCTAAGCAAGAGCAGAGCAGTGGTGAAGAGCCAGTGTGGGATGTCGGTGCCCAGGGCTGTAAACAGTGTGAAGACTGTAGTATTGTGCTTGTCACCTAGGAAAAGCGCTTAGTGCACAGATGACCTCCGAAGAGGTGGTTAGGCCATTACTCCTGATGCGCTAAGCCTCATGCCCACCCGCAGCCACCTTCTGGGTTCTATCTTGCTTCTTGTGCCTTTCCAGCCCCCTCCCCCCTTTCATAGAGCAGCCAGCCTGGTGGATGCCCCGCTGAGAGCTGGAGGCCACGCAGGGAGGTGACAGTCCAAGTGCACAGGCAGACGCCTTATGGGCAATGGAGGAGGAGCTGCCACTTCCAAGTAAAACAGTACAATCTTGAAAACAATCATCAACCCCACAGCAATTTAAAACAGCTTCTTTGAAACCCTTTTAAATCGGTCAGTTCTTGCACATACTATAGAAAACAGAGAGGTGAGGGGGATATATACGGAGGTGTGAAGAAACAGCAGGAAACATGCACAACTCTTTTTTTCTGGGCATACTCTTAGTAAGAAAGGAAAAAAAAATCCAAAACAAAACCACAAAATCAGTATCAAAACAAAACGAAACAAAAAAAATCAAAGCATCACATTTTGCTGTGGAGACTGAAGGAAGAAGCACGGAGGTGAGCCCAGTAGGGCAAGGGGAAGGAAAAAGGGGTACACGGCTCGGCTCCCACAGGGTCACTCTGGGGAACAACCACGAAAGCAAATAACGAGGGGGGGAAAAAAAAAGAGCACGAAGGAAAAAGGGTTGGCTGGGGCCCAAACTGAAGGCTGCGGCCAAAAAAGGAGAGGGGTTTGATGTTCTCTGCAGGTGAGAACTCGGAAAAACCAAAATCAGCACGACACAGGCAGTCTCCTCAAGCCCCACAAACTACGTCAGCAAAATGTGTTCAGGAGCCTCCAAGGTTTCAGTGACATCTTTTATTATTTCATTGTTTACTTCAAAGTTGTCTTTTTAAAACTAAGCACACAGAGAAACGAAGCCTAGAAACGGACTGGCTGTGTGTTCACAGATACAAACATCACACGGTATGTGCTAGTAGGGCTGCTCTGAAGACAATTACAAAGAATTGGAATCACAAAATCAAGTGGTTATCTTATGAAGTTCTAGAAAAATAGATTTTTTTATATTCAAATGCAAGTTTAAATATTTCCCCTTCAGCAGTCGTTCTAGCAAAACCAATTTGGCAGCACAAAAGGGAAAAAAAAAAAAGGAAAGAAAAAAGAAAAAACAAAGAAAAGAAACAAACATAATAAAAATACACATCAGCATCAAAGGTCAACACAAGGTCAAAGGTGAGAGTTCAAGCATCAGAGAAGCTGAAGAGACAGGGATTTGGACGATGTACTTGACGCCACATCGACATGCTTTAGGCACAACGATGAACAAACGGCAGGAATCTAGAAAAAAAAACAAACCAGAAAGAGGGAGACCCACTGAGTTACACAGAGCAATACATCCAAACAGAGAGAGAGGACGCAGGCCACTGACTGTGCAGCCCTGGAATGAGGAGGCGGGCGGGGCTGGGCAACGACAGGGAATTTCTGCACATGCTAACGATGGACACAGGGAGAGTCAAAAAGGACATGGAGGACACCAAGAGAACATCCACTTGTCAGAGACAGGAGGGAACCTAAGGCTTGGATTTCCTGTGAAGTGCCAAACCCTCAGAAGAGGGTCTTGGGGGATCAGGCCTCAAGACCCAGGGAGGACAGAAGATGGGGGAGAGGGCCAGGATTTCTGCTGAACCCTATGGGATGGCCTTTTGGGTTCCCAGAAATCCAAGCTCTTAGCTTCCATGCAGGCCCCGGCCACTCATGTGGCACCAAGGAGACAGTAGTCTGGCTGCATTCAAGGCAAATCAATTTCATGATGTAACCCAAGTATGAAACACAACTAGAGCAGAAAACAACATTTTAAGTGAAACCTCCACAGACAGACAAGGACTGCCTAAGACTTGACTGCAAGTTTCCACTCTTGAGCTGAGCCCTTTCACACTGTGAGACTGGTAGAGGAGCAGCTTCTTCAGAAAACCATCTTTGGCCTGCAGAGAGAACTGTGCTCAGGGCAGTGCTGCTACTGTGCTGGCTCCCTGGGCTGGGAGGAGGGGGACATGGCAGTGCCTCGGAGCCTGGGACCCCGTTGGACGAGTGCTTTTGAGAAGCTCTGGGCAAGGATGGTGCTCCCCTGACCCCGTGTAAAAGGCAGGTGGGTGGCACCCTTGCCTCGCAGGTCACCAGGAAAGGGGTGAGATCCTGGAGCCCAGGACAAAAACTGTGGACAAATAATGGCAAAATAGGGGAGGAGTGGCAGGGAGGAGAGTGGAATGGGAGGAGAGTTCTGGCTGAGGAGGAAGACAGAAAAGAAGGTTTGTAGCACAGCACTGGCAGGTACCCTGTGGAGCACAGCTCTCTCCTCTGCCAATTCACAGCATTAATGCCTTCCCCTTGGGCAGGTTAGCTGGGCTGCAAACGGGCCACAGAAAGTCAGTAGTTTCAATCATACACAGCACCCTGTGTGTACAACAATCACATTCTGGATTCTATAAAATCCTGGCCTTTTCCAGAGATATAATTTAGGTAATAAATATTCTCCACCCCGGAGCTGTATAAAACTTCTATAAAAATAGAAACGACATTCTTGGTTCCAGCTGGTTGGGATTTCAGAACAGCGCCTCCCCAACCTAGCATTTTTTTTTCTTTTTTTTTTTTGTTTTTTTTTTTCTTTCTTTCCTTTTTTTTTTTTTTTTTGCATTTATTTAAAAAATCCCATCATGACCCTGGAAGCCTTTAGAACAGTTTTATCCTTTGAAACACAGGACACATTTCTCCCAGTGCGCAGAATTCAAGTTTACGTGGTTCAGCTTAACAAGTGTATGCTTCACGTTTCTTACGAGGACAACGGACTCAAGTTATCACTATGAGAAGGGATCAAGCTGTCCCTGCTTTGATGGGATAATCCAACACCACCAACTACCTGTGCAACAGCGAGATGGTCATTCCCTGTCTGCTACCCATGGGAGCAGCAGGACAAGGAGAGCACCCCACGAGACTCACTAGCAAACCAACCCCTTTCCTCCCGTTTCTGCTGTAAGGGGTCAGCACTGACACTTCTGAGGTTCAAGATTCCAGGGACCTGGGAACACAGCCCGACTGTGCTGTTAACCCTACCCGCCTGGGGCCACCTGGGCTGGGTGCACACCACCAAGGGCATCCTTCCTGGCTCTCCACCTGCCATGGCATGTTTTGTAGCAGAGGCAGAGCCCAGAGGCTAGGTATGAGACCAGCAAGAGCTGGAGTGAGACCGGTGGAAGGCAGCAGGGAGCTAGCTAACTGTAAGCATGAAGACAAAAACGAACACAGTAATACTGAGGTAAATGAACACTAAAGCCCCACTGAGCATGTAAACGTCCTGGTCTCCTCTGTCCCCGAGCGCACAGATGGGGCTGCAGTGGTTAGCAGAGGGCCTGTGGGAATCCAGAGCTGGGACGCCTCGGCCCAGGAGGCAAGCGTGGGCTTCGGATTTCTCTTAAATGCTAAGTTCTGACCACTGGTAAATGCAGCATCCTGGCTTGAAGCCATCTTCTGGTTTAGGTGTACTAAGAAGCCAATTTCCATTCCTCCAACTAAATGGCTTTTGGTTCCTCTGCCCAGAACAGGTTCCCCCTTCAGTCAGACACCACTGTGGTGGTGCCTTGAAAGCAGGGACGCCAGCCAATGTCTCCCACAGAGGCTGTCTATACAAGAACCTGTTGGGCATGGGCCATGGTCTCATTTGGTGTTGCAATGAACTAAAAATGACCTCTGTGGCTGCTTTTCTCAAACAGCCACCAGCCAGGGAGGGCCAATCCAATGCTGGCTAGGGAAGCTGGTAATGGCTTATGTCTTCCTGCTTCTTTGAATATGTCAGTCTAATTTAACAGTTGCTTTATTTCCAGAGAATTACTAAGCCCCTGTTAGGAAAGAGGAGCGGAAATCCAAGCCAAGAATCTGATATACTGGTGGCAAAAAATTCCAATCTCCACAGAAGGCAGCTAGCTGCAGAGGCGTGCTGCACCCAGCTGCTTTGTGTCAGGGGCCACGCCATCTCCACTGTCCTCCGGCCCCTCAGCGCTTGGATGTCAGTTCTCACCCCACCCAGTCTCGCACTAGGGGAGATCTGGGCAGTTAGTTTAGTTTCCTTTTTCTTTTTTTTTGGTTCAACTCAGTCCTCTCTTCTCACGGGGTGGTCTGGGGCAAATTCTAATTTTTTAAGAATGTTTCCCCATTCTCCCCTCCCCCGGGTGGTTCGGTGTTGGTCCTTTTCAACACACAATAGTTACAAACACAGCAAACTTTAAATAAAGAGGGGTTGGGGGGGGGGAGAAAAAAGGGGGGAAACAAAACAAAACAAACAAAAAAAAAACACCTCAGGATATGGCACCTAAACTCCAAAGTAAAACACTGGAAACCAAAGCACAAACTTGTCCTCTGTACGAAGCGAACTCCCACAGAAGGCAGCAGCCGAGTCTTCAGGGCCAGCTGTGCCTGCGAGAGTGGCAGGGATCAGGGTCCGGGGCTGCCAACACACAGCCTCGGGGCTTCCGATCAGTAAGGGTGCTCCTCCCCACTTACCAGAAGACCCTCTCACTTCAGTCTCAGAGAGGAGCACGCTCAGTAGGGCTTGCTGTCATTCTTTGAACGTTTGAGCTGCACTTTAAGTCGCTTCATGCCAATCTGAAAGCCGTTCATGGATTGGATGGCAGCTTGAGCAGAAACAGGATTGTCATAACTTACAAAACCTGTGTACAAGCAGAGGCCAAGGTCAAGATAGAAGGCGGCTTCCCTTACCTCAGGGGCCAGTTAGGTGTTTAGTCTCAAATTCTAATTATTTTCCAGCTGGAAAGGAACTCTGGAAATTGTATCAGGAGTTCTTAATCTGTGTTTGTTTCTGTCTGTTTTGAAAAGCCATTCTGCATGTTCCTTTTCCCTCTGGAGCAGTGCTGGGGTCAGAAATCATCCCCACCACAGAAACGAGCAAATTGAGGCTCAAAGGCCAAGAGACATCCAGTTCTTTCGGTAATCAGTTAATTCTCTTTTTCTCAGTGATCAGATATTTAATCCCACCCTGCCACAGAACAGAAGAGAAACCAACCTACCAAAACACTTGCTCAGATTTGTCTGCTTGTCTATAAAAACCTTGGCCGACACAACATTCCCAAATGGCATGAACATCTGCAGTAGGTCCTGGTCTCCAAACTCCTGGGGCAGGTGGTAGATGAACAGGTTGGCTCCCTCGGGACCTGCCAAAGACCCATCCATGAGGAAAGCATCAGTGTCAAGCTCACTTACCACCATGCACTAGTGCTCTTTCACTGTCACTGTTAAAGCTGTCCACAGAGGTGCGTCCAGGGAACTAAACAGAGTGTCTACACAAAGCAGACACCAGAGTGCAATCGCTGGAATAGACTGTGTCCCACAGGTTTGGCCATGTTATGTCTTAATAAGGGAAGTTACAATTCTACCCTGCAGGAGTGGGGTGGGCTGGGAGTGACAAACCAGGTAGATCTGTGTGTGCAGCAGTAAAACAGACACTACAGATACACAGGTTATCAAACAAAACAGATTTTAAAGTGGTACCTAGAAACTACAGGGTAAGCAGATAGGAGACAGAAGCAAGAGCAGGACAGTTCTGGGAACAGAAAAGCTATGTCTGTGGTGTTTGTTACAGAGCTGTCTATCAAGGCTCAGAATGGCACACCCACATGTGTGGCTCCAATTATGTGCAGACTGTACTTCAGTGAAAAGAAATACTTAAAATTTTTAAAAACGACTTTCATTTTATTTGAAAGGGGGAGGGGAGGGGAAGGAGAGAGAGAGACAAAGAGCAGAGGTCTTCCATCCATAAGCTCACTCTTCAAATGCCTGCACAAGTGAGGGCTGGGCCTGGCTGAGGCCAGGGGCTGAGTTTCCGTCCACGTCCCCCAAATGGACGGGAGGGGCCCAAGTACTTTAGCCACCACATGCTGCCTTGCCGCTATATTAGCAGCAAGCTGGAATTCGGAGCAGTAACTAAGCCAGAACTAGACTCTCTAATATGGGATACAGAAACCCGGTGGTAATTTAACCACTGTGTCAAACACACTCTAATAATTAATTCTTAAAAATCAGTCTATGGTTAACTAAGTTCAAAAACAGAATAATCTCATTTAACCACTGAGCACTCAACAGCCTTATTTTACTTTTTTTTAAAGGATTCATTATTTGGAAGGCAGAGCAACAGAGAGAGATCTTCCATCCATCATTTCAACAGCTAGACCAGGCCAAACCCAGAAGCCAGACATCTTCCACTGTCTTTTCAACAGCATTTGCATGAAGCTGGGATCCAAAGTGGAACAGACAGGAACTGAACCAACCCTGTCATACAGAGTGTCAGGGTTGCAAGCAGTGATTCAACTTACTGCACTGTTAACAATAGCTAATGATTTTTCTAACGAAGGAGTTTTGTTGCAATCACACTCCTTGCGGGGTACTATTGCCTGCCCCCAGTCTCCAGCTGCTCCGCTTCTGCTCCAACCTCCTGTTTCCCTGGATCAGTGCAGGCCTTATGTCCCTGTCTCAGGACTCTGTAAGCACGATCTCCAGGCATCCCCTAAGCAGCATGCGGGAACACAGGTGCCTCCGCGACTCCCTGGAACACTCCTGCCTTGCTGTCTTCCACTTTTTGAAGCACTGTCTGCAACATGGCATGGCTTTTTGCTTATTACCACTCGTTTCCGTTGTCTCTACTAAAGTGCCTGCTCAGAGAGTGAGGAATCCACACTACTAATTCCCCAAGGCCTACAAGTATTTGATGTGCAAATGAGGGGGACTAGACCAGGGGCACTTCCTGCTGCCTCAACAAGCAAGGATACTCATCTCTGCCTTGTGAGAGTTCAAACGTGCCAGGTCCTGCATATGGAACCTCATCAAGTGTGAGCACAGATAACACAGGACTTGGATAAACCATCCTCAGGTCTCTAGCTAGAAAGCTTTTAAAGCTTTTCCTAAATTCAACACCATGTATGTGAAAGGACATCCTTCCTACTGCATGCATCCGTTTCTAATCTAAAGAAAAATTTTATCTGGAAGTCAGAGAGAGAAAGACAGTAAGCAAGAGTGGGAGAGAGGAAAAGAAAGGGAGAGGAAGTTGGGGAAGGGAAGGAGAGAGAGTCAGAGACGGCTTCCCATCCACTGACTGCCTCCCCAAATGGAGAGAGCGAGTGAGCGAGAGAGTGGGGGTGGGGGGGGAGGGGAGAGGGAGGGAGACAGGCAGGGAGGGAGGGAGGGAGGGAGGGAGGGAGGGAGAGAGAGAGAGAGAGAGAGAGAGAGAGAGAGAGAGAGAGAGAGAGAGAGAGATGGCTCCCCATCCACTGGTTCTCTCTCCAAATGCCCTGAAGGGGAGAACTCCATCTAGGTCTGTCTCCTTCGTGGATGTTGGGACTTTCTGTTGTCTCCCCAAATCTCTATTACAAGGAAGCTGGAGTCAGGAACAGAATAAAGGTTTCAAACCTAGGTAATGTGATGTTGACATGCAGGTATCTGCACTGTCCAAGTAGCCATGAATTCCTTCTGCCCTACCAAGCCTCTGCTTGTTTCCAATTATGGCAAGCACCCATCAGAATGTGAGAAAAATGGTAACTGATATAGCTAAAAGGGATATCTAAACAGAAGGTACACTGACATTCACGATTTCAAGAGATGGTTCCCACAAAAACTAATTCCTATTAAACAGTGTCAGAAAGAATAATGGCAGGACTCGATTCTTCTTCCAGGAGAACATACAGAAGTTCTGCTGTGAATCATACCCAACAATCATCTTACAAGATCACACTGTGCAAAGCTCTTTGGTTTCTTTGGACATCACTGAAGGCAGGGTTGGTATCCTTCCTGGCCTTGGCTTTGCCTCTGGGTACTGCTGTAGGGCCCATCCCCGCCCCCATCTCCCCTCCTACTCACCTTCCTTCTGGCTTCCAGCTGCACCAATACTCTGCTGTGTCAACAAGTTCTGGTTGTATAGAGTGGGGAGTGCGGCAGCAGCGTACTGCTGAATGCCCGAGTAGGCCTGGGTGAGGGCCTCCATTGTGCTCCCCGTGCCGTTGGAAAGGCCACTGCTGCCCAAACCACCATTTAAAGCAGCCATCCCTTGAGTGGGAAAAGAGAAGAGTTAACATATTGAGAAATTCAACTAATGCCAAAGACAGGTGTACTCAGGGACATCTATAAGAGCAAACTACAAAGTTCTCTCTTCTCCCAAGTAGCTTTGCCTTGAGGAGGAAAACGTTTCGAAGGGCTCAGGTTTCTGGACATCCACCAGCCGGGATACAAACAAATGCCACATTCAAACATGGCTCGCCCCATCACCTCTTTCCAATCGGGGAAGAGGTGAAACATTTACACATCAGTGATTCTTGGTTGTAGCTTCTTGGCTAGTTTGTCATTTTTGTGTAACAAGCTAGAATGTGGTAAGAAAGTCCCAAGGATTGGGAACTAAAGAAGTGCATGTAACATGGGTAGACCTTACCATCAAAACAGCCAGTAACTTTGAACAACACATTTTATGTGCCAGCATTTTACATCCTCATTTAACAGATTTGTTTGTTGGCTTATTTATTTATTTATTTGATAGGCAGAATTACAATGATGGGGAAAAAAGAGGGAGAGGGAGACCCTCTCTAAATGCCTGCAATGACTGGGGTTGGGTGGGGCTAAAGCCAGGAACCTGGAGCTCCATCTGAATGTCCTATGTCGCTATGAAAGACCCAAGCACTTGCGCCATCTCCTGCTGCTTGTCTAGGTGCACTAGCAGGGAGCTGGACTGGAAGCAGAGCAACTCAAACTGGCACTCAAGTAAGACAACAGAGATGCAAGGCAGTGGCTTAATCAACTGTGCCAAAGCACTGGTGACCTCATTTGACTTCTTTACAAGTACTCTACTGTGTTATTCCAAATATTCTATTGCTCAAACATCACAGATGAGAAGCTGACCTTCGAATGGCAGTCCAAAGTTACAACTAGTTAAGGAAGAGGTGGTATTAACTCTGGATTGACTTGCAATCCCACATTCATAATTTCTAATTTTGCTGGGCCATTCTAATAATATAAGAATGGCCTGATAACAGCTAGGAAATGTGCCTTACCTGCCAAAGAACCAACATTGAGGCCCGCTGTCGCTCCTGCTAATGTCTGTAGGGCTCCGAGTGAGGCAATAGGGTTTACAGAGTTGCTGCTGCTGGAGCTAGGTGAAGACCCTGCTATTAGAAATTCAGGAGTCAAACTCAACTACATGTGCTCCCCCACACCCAAATTTTATGTTTCCACTTATACTTGAAAGGAACAGAAACAGAGAAAGACCAATCTTCCATCTGCTGGCTAACTCCCCAAAATGCCTGTTAACAGCTGGAGCAGGGCCAGACTGAAGCCATGAACTGAAATCTGGAACTCCCACATGAGTGGCAAGCATTCAAGTTCTTGAACCATCATCTCCCGTCTCCCAGTATTCAAAATAGCTGGAAGATTTATAAAAGGTTGAGCCAGGACTTGAACTAAGCACTCTAAAAATAAGACACAAACATCTCAAATGGCATCTTAACCTCTGTGTCACGATGATACTACTCTTCTCCCTAACAAGAACCACCTAGATCTAAGAATGATACTACCCAAGTATTTGCAAAGACTTTTTAGTTACCAATGCTCATAACTGTCCTTGTAGGATGAGTGATAATAATAGCAATGGCAAACTGAAAATGACAAGATTTCTCTTCAGTCAGAAGAGATGACATGTGGAAGTCTGCTATCCATAATTTGACCTATCTGATAACACTGCTAGCTACTTTCCAGATTGTAGCATTTCCCTGTCTTTGGATTCTGCCTTTAAACAAAGAGGATTGACTCAAGGCATATTGGCCCCGATTACACCTTACCTGAACTGGTGAGTACACTGAGGGGACTGCTGGATGTGGTAAGAGCACTGGTACCACTGGGTGTGTTCTGAGCGGCACTCGCTGCAGCAGCCAGGGCAGCCAAATTCTGTAACTGCATTGCATTTAACCCTGTAACATCCAAAGCAAGGTATCAGTCAGGACATCAAAGAGCCTCCTGTCAACTCCAGCACACACTGGAGGGGGACTGGTATGAGACTGACAGGAACCATTCCAGATGAGTCTTACAAGCACCAACACAAGGCCTCAAGAAAGATTCAAACAGCACTAAGAAACTTAAGGTTACTTCCTCAGAAACAAGAAAGGTAACCCAAGAGCATGATTACCCAAGAGTGTTAGAAAAGTAGCCCGAAAGAACAATGCCAATGCCTGTGGCACAGGAAGGGATTGCATCCAAGACCCACTTTACAGAGGGACTACTTTCAGTGGTGGAGAGCGAGTGAGTAACGTAGCACAGGCGCAGAGGCACAGCAGCAAGAACAGGAAGTAACACACTCTATGAAGAGCTGCGGAAGTTCAGGAAACACTGCTTTATGAACCAGACAGCACAGTCAACAGGAGAAACCTGAAGTGTGTTATGGATGTTGTAAATAACTTAATAGCTGGGAAAAGCAGTGGGAAGACTACAGAGTGAGAACCCAATAGACTACAATCAAGCAATGTTCTGAAACACAGCAAATTGTAATTCCCTGGGATAACGTGCACCACAATCAAAATACTTCAACTTGCAAAACAGCTACCTGAAGATGATTACTTTCTCAAATGCACTTGCCTAGCCCTGAGCTACTGCAGATAAGGCACAGCCACCAGGGGAACTGCCCTACTTCCAACCCCACCAACTTTTCTGATGATTCATGTTTTTCTATGGAAGCTCATTTTGGTGTAAATTCAGTTACTTGCCATTTAAGTTTTCTGCATACATTAACAGCAACAACAAATGAGAAGTTCACCCAAGAAATAACCTGTGTTAAGAAACACAGCTTCCGGGTAAACCATGTGCAGGGAAGTTACCTTTGACCTCACAGCACTGGAAAAGTCACTCCTGTGAGAATAAAGTGTTCCTGCACTTTTTCTCCCTATCAGAACGGTCTCAGACAAGATGCTAAGAGCAATCTTCACACTCTCACCCAGTGGCAATGTTTTTACGGCGTGCAGTGGGGGATCAGGCAACCTCAGACCAACATGGCATTAATGAAATAAATGAGTAACAGAAAACACCTCGTGGAGACAAGGCACGGGAGGTCCATCCCAGGCTGGGTTTATACTGCAGTCATGCAAGAACTCCCAGGCCGCTGCTGGCTGGGTCTCTGCCTGGCCACGGGCTGCTGCTGCTCCACAGAGGTGGGACACTTACCGCCCATCGGGTGGAGGCTGCTCAGGGTGTTGAGATTCCCGGAGGAGGCAGTCTGCTGAAGGAGCTGCAAATAAAGCTAGACATTACACCAAAAAACAGAACAAGAGTGAGAGTGAGGGCTGGTTCTGCATCTGGGATAACTCTACAGTACAGCAAAGCGAGAGTGCAGAGGCCCCCAGAGAGAAGTTGAAGACAAGATCCCAAGCGAACACAACAAAAACATGAGGCGTATGACAGCACAGGACGATACAACATAGCTAGAGACCTGGCCCTGAAGACAGTGAGTTCACTGAATACTGAGCAAAGCTCAAAGTCTATGCAGCACAGCAGACAACATAAGCACAGCAGGGAAATAAGCTCAACCCAAGCAGCTGCGAAGTCGTCTCATGAGGGTCTTTGTTGAAATGACTGTCGCTGTTTCTAGTTCCTCTCTCCCAAATTCTCCTTTGTTAGGTCCACAAATCCTACAATTCAGATTTCTTCCATGTCCATGCCCAATTTCTTGTTCACATAACTGTTACAGATATCACACCTGACTACTCCATAGTATCTCCTGAATCTACCTTTCACTCCCAAGTTCTACATCATCTACACAGTCCCATCAGTTTCTTCCTCTCCAAACTGGTCCTCACTGTTATAGACAACTCAATGACTGCTCAGGTCCCAGCAGGCTCAGTGCACACTCGACCCAATGGCTGTCCCATAATAAATAGAACAAGTATGTGTAAGCGTATAGATCTTGGTGCCCTTACTCTGCATCTTGGCAAACCACAACCTTTCTTTAACCAATCTACTAACAACCTTCATCCCACTCAAATCTAATTATAGTTTCCAACAACAACAACTACAGCAAAATCAGTATTTTTATACTGGAGCCTTTATTCAACCTGTTTCCCAGTCTCATAAACATCTGACTTGGTCCTTCTCATCAACAACTCCTCCAGGCCACAGTGCCTTGATGGGTTTCAGCAGGTCCACAAACTCCAGAACAGAAAGAAGAGAAAATGTACATATATAAAATTTTAAGTTACTCCTCAAAAGGGTCCACAACCCCACAAAGATTAGAAACTATGATTCTAGCCCAGCTGAACTCAGTTGGTTAAAGTCCACATAATCCAGAAAGATCTTCACAATTCATGATGGTCCACTATTACTTATACAACGCATGCCCTCATCATTCCTGGGCAATGCGTTCAGTGCCAATGGACAGTGCCTACCACTCTTGGCACCTTCATATGTTCTTTACACGAGAACAGCTCTTAGGCAGGGGATCCTGTCAAATGCCAACACAGATTGTAACTCTCTTTCACTATGGACCTTTAGGTTATTTTCTGAGCAGCAATGACAACAAAGGGGGAAGTCCTCCCACAAAGAGGCTTTAATTCTCTGTGAGAAGCACAAATGCATATGGCCATTTTTAAAGTATTATTATTTTGGCAGAAGATCACAAACTGAATTTCTTGAACTTGTAAGCAATATTCTACAACTAAGAAACAATCTAATTTGTTGAAGTACAACAACCCCTCAACCCCTTACTTTTTTTTTTTTTAACTTTAGAGAAATGCTGGTTAGGATATACTAGAATTTAGAAATACAGAAACCAGGGGTATTAAACTAACCAAAATTCGGTAGCCAGGAACACAAAGCACTGATTCTCCTGTTTCCACATAGAACAAGACTGTAACAAATGAGGGGTGACTGCTGATATTAGCTATTATACCTATGTGGATCTAGTCTCACCACTTTTAACTCCAGAGATGACCTTTCTCTTTTCTTCCAGGTTTTAAGTTTCTTGTGGTAGCTGCAAATCTTTTAAGGGGCTAAAGCAATAGTAATCCCCTAGAGCATGCACTGCAGACCTATTAAGTATCCAAACTGACGCAGACCTTCTTTTCGACCACATGACTTAGAATTCAACAACAAAAGTCAAATTAAGGGAAAGCAATTTAAGATACACTGGACTTAAATATATGCCTATAATACTCATTTAATAATGTCTAGGTGCATCTCTTAGCTTTCAGTCTGCTGAAAGAAAAATATTCCCTTTAGGGAAGAGTCAGCAAGACTCTAACATGTCCTATATCTAATAGCAAGTATTCCGGGGAAACACTTGCTAGTTAAGATTCTTTCAGGAACAAATTCCTGAAACAGGAACACATCATATTTTCAATGTATTTAAATCAAGAAAATGAAATTGTACTTTAACAGTAGCAAAAGTGGAGATTCATGACCAGTAAAGAAGAGAGAGAAGAAAGTTTTAGAGGAAGGGAGGGAGAGAGGAAGGGAGAGAGAGATACTCCGAGAAGCTAATGTAACTTAAAAAACAACACACTGCTGAATCTTTAAATCTTATTTTTCTTCACCCAAACATGTAAATGCCACTGTGTCTGTTAGCTAGAGACAGCAGAAGAACAAACAGCTGAGAGCTTGCACAGTCTGCAGAAAGCAAACCACAAAGACTCACTGCTAAATACTGGGGTCCAAGAGTATTTAGACCAGCAAGGTTTCCCCACACAGAGGCGGCGCTGATTTGCTGCATCTGTTGCTGGAGCTGCTGCGCCATTCTCTTCTGTTCTTTGTCCTTCTGTGTATCAGCAAATTTTACCACCATGGGGGACGAGCAACCCTATGAGAACACCAAAGCCAAGCGGTCAAGCTACTGCTTCTGGGGAAAGAAAAAATTTTCCTTTTGGGTAACATACAGGCTATACTTTAAATTCATTCACTGTCAAATGGTTCTGTTCTTGATGGACAGTACTGACAAAAGACAATTAAGAAGGTCAACTATTTCCAACATGTTAATTTTAAAGAAAACAATGCTTTTACACTTCATAATGGACCTGTGTAACTTTCAGGGCAACTTGATGCAGGATTTTAGACTGTCCACTGTCCACACACTAAGGAATCTCCCCCTCCACCTGTTGCTGCAGCATAGGCTGATGGACTCTGCCTGCCCACTGCCCACAGCTTAAGGAACCTCTCCCTCCACCTGCCCACCCCCTACCTCCATGGTCTGTGCCTGGTGCATCGCCTTGATAGCTGTCTGTGCCATGGCTCTTGTTGTAAAAGTCACAAAAGCACAACCTGGTAAGAGAAGAGTCAGTAGGTCATTCATTCACTGGCTTATTCATTTATCTGACATTTACTGAGCACCTACTCCACTGCAACTATCAGCAAAACAGATGGTCCCTGTCTTGAGAGGTTTGTGGGCTGGGGTAGGAGACAGGTATATTGCAATATGGTGGTTAACAAAAAACAAGAGCACCATAGATAGAGTATGCTTGAGCAAGAAATAAGGAATCAGTCTCAACTCCATTTTGACATAAAAAATTTTCAAGCACCAAACCAGAAAATTTTAGTGCATGGGACTGGAGTGTGGAATGGCAGACTCCTTAGGGGGCTGGGAGAATACCTAAGGAATCATCTAGAAGGAGGGGTCTTGCTGCGATTTACAAAGCAGGTCCAAGTTCTTCTTAACAGGGTCATGGTCTATAGGGATCACAGGGGTCTACTGTCCAACTAAAAGGTGACTCACAAGGGGAAGACAACTGTCTTTAAAAGTAAAAGTACCACCTCGGCTCAGGCCATCAGGTCCCCGCAATATCCGGCATTCCTCAATCTGTCCAAATGAAGAGAACATGACTCGAATGTCATTTTCAGTGCACTTCTTGGAAATCATACCAATAAACAGCTTCCTGTCTTCCACTGCTGAGAGAGTGAAACACAAAAGACTTGAATGTTATTACTCCATGAGCATACACTGGGTGTCAGAGCGCCTGGGTATGAATCCTGGCTCCCTGTTTCATGCCACATTTCATGGATTCCAAGCATGTTCTTTCCATAACTTTACATGTCCTCTTGTAACACTAGCACTAAAATCATGTACACATTCAGATGAAAGATGGTAGTTGTGTGATCTTGTAAAAGCGTCGTTTCCTCATCTAATTAATACAAAGATTTCTGTCTCCGAGGGTGGTTGTGGGTGTTAAGTTCAAGGAGCTCAGCATGCTGCCTAGGCCTCAGCATTGTTTGCTTTCACTAGCAATTACTGCCAAAGGAAAAAAGAAGAAATGGGAGATATCTTTCAGTGGGTTGAACTATTTATTTTCCTTTTCTATTTTCTAGAAGACTAACTCCTCTTCCTAAGTTGTTCACTTCTTTCCTCATGTCTAGCCATAATTAGATCGATCAGGAATGCCCCAGTTCATTCTGGAATGTTCACATAACCTTTCCTTGTAAATGGGTTTTCTCATTTATTTTATCATACTCATTTTACAGGGAAAAAGACAATCTAGACAACAGAGTTCAATTCAAATATAAACATGCGTACACACACCCACACACAAAAACACACAGAGAAGGAGCCTTGCAAGGGGCCGACTTTATATGTTTGCTCACCATTGTTCTTCTCACTGTCAGCAGGCTTCATCTGTATAGGATGATGCATCTGAAAAGAAGAGCCGTGAGTTTTACAATCACACATTGATGGCTTCTAAAACATCAATGACAGTTTGAAAAGGAACTCTAGAGTCAAGTGGTGGCAAGTCCTAACACAGAGCCAGTTCAGGTTTTGGCTGCAGTGTTTAAAATGGAAGATGACCCAAGTACTTGTGTGTCTGCTACCCATGTGGGAGCCGCAGAGTAAAATCCGAGTTCCTGGCTCTGTCCTGACTCAGCCTGCTGCAGCCAACTTGGGAGCGAACCAGCATAAACAGGATCTCTCTGTCACCCTCCAAGTTCACCAAGTCTTGTCTCTCCTTCCTTTCTTCTGTCACTCTTTCAAATACATTTTTAAAAAGGTATGTGGGGGGAAACCTGCAGACCGAGAGCCTTCAGAATTCTTGCTGACTTCACATCTGTCTCATCCATGATTTTTTTCTCACCAAATACAATGGAATCAAGTGACGACATAACAGGGGCTACTGCTGTGGGTAGCAGGTAAAGATGCTGCCTTCCCATACAGAGGATAAAGATCCTTGTTAATGTGCCTGACAAAGTACACAGCTGGCCCAATCTTTGGGCTTCTGCACCCACTTGGGAGACCTGGGTCAAGCTCCTGCTTCCTGGCTCCAACCTGGCCCAGCCATTACCACTGTGATCATCTGGGAAGTGAACCAGTGGATGCAAGCTTGCTTTCTCTTACTTTTCAAAGACTCTTGGCTGAAAAGGACTATGTTTAACATATTTTCTTTCAAATGTTTCCTTCATACCTCCTTTATGCAAATTCCTGGCCAGTTAGCTTTTTTTTCACACATGATTCTCAGTCACTATCATGTGCAAGAACAGTTGTCCCTCAGTATTCATGAGGACTGGTTTCATGACCCTACCCAGACACCAAGATGCTTAAGCCCCTTACAGAAAAAAAAGTATACAGTATTTGCATTTAACCTAGACAGAGCCTTTTAATCCTCTCTAGCTTACCCATAAAATCTATCTAATACAATGCAAACTCTGTTGTCTAGGAGAATATGAATCTGTAACTTTGGAACACAAAGATAACAGCTAATTACATATCCCATTATCAAAACTACCACAGGGGCGGGGGGAACACCATGACATAGCAGGTTAAGCCATGGCCTGGCCACACTGCATTTCAGTCAGCCAATTCAAGAGTTGGTTCCCATGCTGACAAGTCAGTTTCCTGTTAATATGCCTGGGAAGCAGCAATGATGGGCCTCTGCCACTCTGTGGGAGATTCAGAAGGAGTTCCTGACGCCTGTGATCTGATCTAGCCCCAGCTGTCTCTCATGTATCTCCGTGTCAATCTGCTTTTTAGACAAACAAATCTTCAAAGACAAACCACTACCATACTTCCACTTCTAAGTGGGAGTTTCCTTACCCCTGGGAGGACCTTCATGTTGTGAAGAGCATTCTGCGCTTCTAGTGCAGCTTTACGGGTGTAAAATGTAACAAAACAGCACCCTGAAACAAGGAAGATTTCACAAAATCAAACCTGTCCTTTGAAAACAGAGACCATTCCACTGACACATTGAAACCTTATAGAGGGCTGTTATTAACACTGGCTAAAAAAGGGGGAGAAGGGGGAAGTGGGCGCATGAGGACAAAGAAATGGAAGGAGGAATGAAGAACCTAGCAGAAAAAAAAAAGAGTTTTAAAAATATTTTCTTTGCAGTTTCAACTTTTTCTTTCTTATATTTACAATGTTCTTCAGCAGCTTGTGTAACTTCACTGGAAACAATGGCACCACTCCATTCAACCCACCCTCCTTACGGGACCAGGCAGGACACGGGCCAAGTAGACTGTCAGTCTGCAACCCACCAGGAACTCTACCACCACTTACATGCTTTTTTAAGATTTATTTTTACTATTTTTTTTTTATTGGAAAGGCGGATATACAGAGAGGAGAGACAGAGAGGAAGATCTCCCATCCGATGATTCACTCCCCAAGTGAGCGCAACGGCCAATGCTATGTCGATCCGAAGCCAGGAGCCTCTTCCGGGTCTCCCACACGGGTGCAGGGTCCCAAAGCTTTGGGCCGTCCTCGACTGCTTTCCCGGGCCACAGGCAGGGAGCTGGAAGGGAAGCGGGGCTGCCGGGATTAGAACCGGTGCCCATAGGGGATCCCAGGCGTGCAAGGCGAGGACTTTAACCACTTGCGCCACCGCGGCGGGCCCCACCACTTACATTTGTAGCCAGTTTCTACCACATGCCTCAAATGCAATTACCACTTACTAAATTATAAAAATACTTAAGAGCAAGACTCTCTTAATATATATCTTTTAAATTCCTGGTTCTCAAATATACTGAAGCCTCTAACAGCACATGGTACAGCTTGAGCACGGGCATCTTGTGCTCTGTGTCTTTACTGTATGCAGTGGTGATAGGGACAGCGGTGTGTCAGAAATCTCACACTGCCATGAGATGCAGAACAGATTTCTTTCAAAATCATGTTGCAGTCAGAAGGTGCTAGTCATTTTAGAACTACTATACTTAATCCATTTGGTGAACTATACCATAAATAGGAACTAACTACTTCTAGATGTTATCTGGTAGTCTGCAAATGTGATGACCATGCCTGCTCACATCCACATACATGACAGATTTCAGAAAATTACTCTATGTAAACATTATCAAAAACAAAATGAACTTATTAAAAAAATCTGTAAATGAGGTAGGTATATATAGGCTGATGTGGGTGACAGACAGAGCTGGGCCCTGCACTGGCTGGCACACACAACCCTAACTGTTTGGCGAGGTTTCTTTTGGAACTCCTCAATCGGCTCACTGGACTCAGAACTCTGACCACTGTGAAGATCACAGGATCTCTGGTCTGACTGTCGAGTGCAGGTGACTGGGTCTTCACAGTTGCGGAGACCTATGCAGCAGCAGCCAGCATGCCCAGATGCACATGGGGGACATGAAAATCAGTTCACTGAGGCCTGCAGAGGGCGCCTAGAACCATGGAGGGCAGAACAAATTGGATGGCAATCCAGGTCAAGCTTTGACAGCAAGTATCTGGGCAAACTGAGACTATAAGATGGACTAGGTCAGCCAGTGGAACGTGGAAGGAGTTTCTGAACCTTGGAGCAATGAAATCAACAGTATCTCAGAACTATCAAAACAACGTAAGAGGGCATGGCGTTCTAGCCTAGCGGCTGAAGTCCCCACCTTGCACAAGCCAGGATACTATATGGTTGCTGGTTCTAATCCCAGCAGCCCTGTTTCCCAACCAGCTGCCCGCTTATGGCCTGGGAAAGCAGGTGAGGATACCTAAAAACTTTGGGACCCTGCATTCACGTGGGAGATCCAGAAGAGGCTCCTGGTTTATGGCTTCGGATGGGCTCAGCTCGGCTGCTGTGGCCACTTGGGGAGTGAATCATTGGACAGAAGATCTTTCTGTCTCTCCTCTGTGTATCTGACTTTCCAAATAAAGAGACAGATAGATGTTTAGGTAGGTAGATGGATCCTTTAAAAAAAAAAAAAAAAAACCATAAGCAGTATCCTCAGAACACGCTCCACATCTGGAACCCTGGAATGACACCAGGTGGCCACCCCCATTCCTGGGTACTGATGCAGTTGGGCGGCCCTCTCTGCTTTTCTTCCCCCTTCGCCATATACAGGAAGAGAAAAGGAGATTGGAGGTAGTTGTTTCAGCCACTTTCCCCCACTCCATGATCTTTTCCAACCTAATAGGCGGTCCACATGGGCATGCATCCCTCTTCAGCTATGTAAACATCACACAAATAAAATGAATTTATTATATATAAAAAAGAAAATAATCCTGAAACCGGTTATTTGGAAAATCAGAGCATGTCTAGCAGGGAGGGGTGGAGGCAAAGCCAATATCTACCGATCATCCATTCCATAAGCATTTATTTTGCTGGTATTTCTGGAAGCAGATTAGCAGATCTTCTGTTCATTTTGTAGGCTACAAAAACCAAGCGGTGCGAACAAGTCCTTCCTATCTGACATTAACAAGAAAACCTGTGGTAGGTGGACAGCCCTCTTTCAGCTTCATTCAGTGAAAACCCTAAGGAAAGCCTTATGCAGAAGGGTTACTTTGATTTAACTTTTATCATCCCATTCCCAAGACCAAACAAGAGTCCATCTCTTAAATCAGAACTTCCTTAAGGAATGGCAAAAGAGGCGACTGAACAACTGATGACCATGTCAACTTAACATTCTATTTTTAAGTCATTAAACGTGTTTAGATTTGGAGGCAGAGCTCGTCTATGAGGATTGCCTTTTTCCCAGTATGACCTCAGGTGTATCCTGGCAGTATAAAAGCATGGGGCAGAGACTAACACAGAGAAGCACAAATTTCTGTTCTGTCACAAATGCAAAGTTCTCACCTTTGCTCTGAGGAGGGTTTTGGCTCCTATCCCTTAGGACATTGATTTCGTAGACAGCACCATACTGTTCAAAGAGCTCCCGCAAGTCCTTCTCTGACCAGGTTCTGGGGACCTGGCCGACAAACATCTTGATAGCATCAAGATCTGGTTGGTCTGGGTGGTCCAGGGTGCCGTTCATTTTCTTTGAGCTGCATGAAATAAAATGAAACATATTATATATTCATGTTACTTTCATGTATTTTTCCTTAAAGAGGTCAACTTTCGAGGAAAAAATTGTGCCTCTTTCATGATTTCCACTGAATTTACACATTTCCTGGTCTTCCATCATCATGGTCACCCTCTTCATTAGATGCCCAACAAAGGTCACCATCCTGATTGGGACATCCTGGTTTTTAACTGAGTAACTAATACTGTTATTTATTCCTTGTCTAGCGTGAGGATTCTCACAGGCCCTTAAGGGTAAAGCCCTGAAGCAAGAGGAAGTTTTAGTAATGTTTAAACACAGTTAATAAAAATAGGAATGCTTCTTATAAATGTAAAACAAAGGACTGTTGATTTCAGATGAGTCAGAATTTACATAAAGTGACAGATGAAGTTTCCTTTGCAGAAGATGCAACAGAAGCATCTGATTTCTGAGACCTAATTAATTTCCAAGAATTGACTAAGATGTTAACCTTCTGATGCAGCTGTATTTGGTATAATCCTATTGTTCTTGAGGTGGCCCCAAAACCAAATTTTTTTTTTTTTAAATTGGAAGATAGAATGAGAGACAAAGAAGGAAACACACGGAGAGCGATCTTCCACCCACTGCTTAACTCCCCAACCAGCTATAATGGCTAGGGCTGGATTGGACTGAAGCCAGCAACTTCTTTCAGATCTTCCTCACATTGGTGCAGTTGTCCAAGGACTTGAGCCATCCTTTCCTCTTTGCCACACCACTAGTACAGAACTGGATTGGAAGCAGAGCTGCCAGTACTAGAACTGGCACACATATGGGATGCTGGTGTTAGAGACAAAGGCTTAGCCCGGTACACCATGGTGCAAGCATCAAAGCTTTACTTCTTTCAGTGTACAAATAACTGTGACATAAACATAATGCTGCCACAATGGTAGACTGTTTCTAAATTATCTAGTTTATTTGATATTTCACTGTCTTTATTCAATTCCCTTATCAATCATAACCATTTCTTTTTTTAATATTTACTTTATTTTTTTATTGGGAAGTCAGATACATAGAGAGGAGGACAGACAAAAGATCTTCCATCCGGGACAATGATTCACTCCCCAAGTGACCGCAATGGCTAGTGCTGTGCAGATCCGAAGCCATAAGCCAGGAACTTCCTTCAGGTCTCCCATATGCGGGTGCAGGGTCCCAAGGCTTTGGGCTGTCCTCATCTGCTTTCCCAGGTCACAAGCAGGGAGCTGGATGGGAAGTGGAGCTGCCAGGATTAGAATCGGTGCCCATATGGGATCCTGGCACCTTCAAGGAGAGGACCTCAGCCACCAGAACATAACCATTTCAATGTCGCAAAATTCCTCCAACCCGATGACAGTGAAATTTGTTCCTTCACTCCTAACCCTGCCATTGCCATGAACCTATTCCCTGAACTGTAAATGATTTAAATGATTCCACTTAAAATTACCTCATCTATTTTAAGGTCCTTCTTCTGCTATTGTTTTAAGTTACTCAACATTCATCTAAACCATTAGCAATGTGCAGTTAGCTTTCATTTTAGTGTTTCCTGTTTAATTCAGAAATTCACAGCAAAATTTTTGAGGTTCTTAACATCTACTTAAACACAATTAAATAATTTCCCTTAAAGAAAAGCTAAGTTTTTCTATCACTGCTTTTTTTTTTAAATATTTCAAGATCTTTAAGAACATCAAATATGCCAAAGAAGTTCAACTTTTCATTTTTAAGTTCTTACAACTTTTTGTTAAAAAAAAAAAAAGATTTACTTATTTCTTTGAAAGGCAGAGTTACAAACAGAAGGGGAAAGGCACACATGGAGTGGGGAGCGGGAGAGAGACAGATTTGTCATCTGCTGATTCACTCATCAAATGAGCAGGTGACAGCCATGAACCTGAAGTCTAGGTCTTCCAGATTGGTGCTAGGGCTAGGAACTTCGGCCAGCTGCTATTAGTAAGGAGCTGTATCAGAAGTGCAGTCAGCTAGGATTTGAGCCTGGGCTCAGATGGGATGCCTGCATCAAAGGAAGTGGTGGCTCAATCACGACACGATCAGATTTTTAAATCTCTCACAAATAAACAACACATAGCTACGGTCATCTTACCGTTGCTGAGCTGGAATTAACAGCCTAATCTTAAGGCACAGTACACAGATCAATTCCCATCATTGCATCTTTCACAGTACACCCATATTCTTCCAAGTTAAGAAATTTAGCTACAGGGCCCGCCGCGGTGGCGCAAGTGGTTAAAGGTCCTCGCCTTGCACGCCCGGGATCCCATGTGGGCGCCGGTTCTAATCCCGGCAGCCCCGCTTCCCTTCCAGCTCCCTGCTTGTGGCCTGGGAAAGCAGTCGAGGACGGCCCAAGGCTTTGGGAACCTGCACCCGCGTGGGAGACCCGGAAGAGGCTCCTGGCTTCGGATCGGCATGGCATCGGCCCGTTGCGCTCACTAGGGGAGTGAATCATCGGACGGAAGATCTTCCTCTCTGTCTCTCCTCCTCTCTGTATATCCGCCTTTCCAATAAAAAAATAATAAAAATAAATCTTTAAAAAAAAAAAAAAAGAAATTTAGCTACATTCTAGGAATGAAACAATAGACTTTCGCAGTCATTGTAGTATTTAGTACTTTATAGCACAATGTCACTATTCAACAAACCTGACAGCTCTATGAAGGGAGATAGTATTTCCTCTTCATCCTTTTGGACACACCTGATTCAACAGGAACCAATATGGGATAGGAAAAATTCCTTGCTCAACTGTTCCCCCTTCATCAGCTAATCCCAACAACACAAGTATTGTGCAAAGTGGGCTCCCAAATTTAAGAGCAGCTATTATGTTATACTCTATGTCTGACTGGTAGGTATCAGTCTCCTCTCTCCTGTCTGCCTCCCCCTGACCTCTCCTCATCTAAGAACACAGAAAGGGAAGGATGCAGAAAGGGCTCATGCATCTGCTCGTTCATTGGCCAGATGGCCACAGCAGCCAGGTCCTGGACCGGCCGAGGCCAGATGCTAGAACTTCATCTGCTCTCTGACATAGATGGCAGGGCTCAAGTACTTGGGCCAGCTTTCATGGTTGTCTTGGGCACACCAGCATGAAGCTTAATTAGAAATGGAGCAGTTGAGATTTGCACAGGTACTTAGAGACAGCAGTGTTTTCTTTAAACGGTTTTTAGTAATTTCCCTTTATTTTAATTTTCATATTGAAGCACACCTACTTTGTTTTTTTTAAGATTTATTTATATTTATTGCAAAGTCAGATATACAGAGAGGAGAGACACGAAGATCTTCCATCCACTGATTCACTCCCCAAATGGCCACAATGGCCAGAGCTCAGCCAATCTGAAGCCAGGAGTCTGGAGTCTCCTCCGGATCTCCCAGCAGGTGCAGTGTCCCAAGGCCTTGGACTGTCCTCGACTGCTTTCCCAGGCCACAAGCAGGGAGCTGGATGGGAAGTGGGGTTGCCGGGATTAATACTGGCATCCATAAAGGATCCTGGCACATGGAAGGTGAGGACTTTAGCTGCTAGGCTACTGCACCAGGCCTGACAGCAACATTTTTTCTTTCTAATTACTTTATTTTATTTGAAAGACGAATTTATAGGAGAGACAGAGATCTTTAATCCACTGATTCACTCCCCAAGTGGCTGCAATGGCCGGAGTAACTAGTCCTGAGTTACCAGCCAGGAGTTTCCTGTGGGTCTCCCCCATGGGTGTAGGGCCCCAAGGATTTGGTCCTTCTTTTGCTGCTTTCTTTCCCAGGAGCATCTGTAGGAATCTGGACCAGAACTGGAACAGCCAGGACTTGAATCAGTGCCCAAATGGGAAGCTAGTGCCACTAGTGGTGTGTTAACCTATGCTCTTCCACATATTTTGGAATATACTTTCAATCACTTTATTTAAAATCAGAGGTGGCAGACTCTTACAAAAATAACTATTTGACCCAGCACCATGGCTTAATGGCTAAATCCTCACCTTATAAGCACAGGATTCCATATGGATGCTGGTTCATGTTGTGGCTGTTCTACTTTCCATCCAGCTGCCTGCCTATGGCCTAGGAAAGCAGTGCAGGATGGCCCAAAGCCTTGAAACCCTACACTCACATGGGAGACCTGGTAGAAGTTCCTGGCATGGGATTGGGTCAGTTCTGGCTGTTAAAGCCTTTTGGGAAGTGAACCAGCAGATGGTTCACTTTCTCTCTGGCCCAATGTGATGCTTTATGTTCCAGCTGTTCTACTTCCTTCCCTTTCATTGCCCGGCTTGTGGCTTGGGAAAGCAGTAGAGGATTACTAAAATGACCCAAAGCCTTGGCACTCTGTATCCATGTGGGAGACCTGGGCTCTGGGCTCCTCCTCCTAGCTTTGGATTGGCTCAGTTTAAACTATTATGGTCACCTAGGGAGTGAACCAGTGGACAGAAGATCTGTCTTTTTTTGTCTATATAAAATTCTCCTTAACAAAACAGTAAATAAATCTTTAAAAAAAATGTTTTCTGAAGTTTCATCCTAATATTTCCAAACAAACCAGGACACCATAGTAAAAACAAGTGAAAACAACCCCTACCACGGCCAGTGAAACACCCATCCATATAACCTGCCCTCCATAACTTTACCAGTTTTAACAGCATTTTACTAACATGCTGTTGATTATTCCTATTTCCTGCATTGAGAAAGCTACTTCTGCAAAGCGGCAGGTTTACTGTTTTATATTCTCTAGAGACACCTGTGTGCCCTCTTGCCAATCCCTGTTGTTTGTTTGCCATTTCTAATCTCCCTACATTACTATTAGTGCAAAAGCTTCATAAACATGGTCAATTAATGTGGATTACAGTCGATCCCAAGGTTTGTGGAGATTCAGGATCCTAGCAAATGTCCTCCTTTTCTCTTCTCATTCTTTCCAAATTCTCACCTAGTTCTTCATGTCAACAATTCCCGGCCATTCTTTCCGTATACCAATTCCATAACAAGAACTCCTCACAGCAGTGCTATTCAAAGTGTCCCAAG